ATATATATATATATATGATTTTCAATTCGTGCTCGGCTATGTGTATAACGATTTTAAATTATAGTTGAAATATAGTATAGTGCGTAATATTCTTTTAGAACGTGTATTGATTTGTGTACGAATACTGCGAATAATAAAAAAAACATTAAGATAATTGTAATTTATTACAATAAATAGTAATATTCTCGAAAAGATCATTTAATACATGCAAATTACATAAAAATCAATCATCTGTGTGTGTGTGCTTTTTTTTTGTTTTTGTTTTTTTATAATAGGAAGGTAGATCAATTGTTTTTAATAATCTGTATTTATACAAGAATATTAAAAATCAATTAATACAGCAGGCTCAACGTACTTTATCTGTGTGTGTTTTTTTTTTGTTTTTGTTTTTTTATAATAGGAAGGTAGATCAATTGTTTTTAATAATCTGTATTTATACAAGAATATTAAAAATCAATTAATACAGCAGGCTCAACGTACTTTATCTGTTCTTATTACATTACAATGTTATACCATTCCATTCATAAATGATTTTTCTGAATCAAATAGGGAATAAAATCTCGTTGACATAAATAACAAAACGTAATATTTATTTTTCATAATAATGATTAGGATGTCTTTAATTTTAACGAGTAGGTAGATATAATATTAATACAATAGCCATTGTTAATACAACAACAAAATCTTATCTTCACCCATCGTTAAGAAACTTATAAGATCTCCATAGAATTGCAACAATATCAATGTGATTTAGATGGCAAAATTTTAAAGCTATTGGAAGACTATGGAAATGCTTATGTGTTGATACGAGTCATTTGAAAAATATTCGCAAGCTCTATCACGCACATAACTCCTGCTCCGTAAATTTTTCACGGCTAGTATGTGCCACCTCCTTTAGGGAGGCCAAATGCAGACTCTTGATGGCATTTCCCTCTTTGGATATCATATACCCCTGCTATTAAACTAAGTAATCCCATCTTTATTTAAAAGATTCCTATAATTTATTTTACATTTTTATCTCTTTCTATATATGTTTTCCTATTACGATTCTAAGCAATTCTTCTATTATTAAAATTAGCCCTTCAATGATTGGCTATAAATACAATATAAATTATTTATGATATGGAATGTGATGGAGGAAACTATTAGAGAAATTTCCAATCATTCTTCTCTAAGGCAATTAAGTCAAATAAAAAGAATATTTTACGTTTTTCTATTTTACGGTTAATGAAAGAGTATGTAATTAAAGAATTTTTATGCAAGATTTATATTGTTGAAATAATTTAATTTACATTGGATTATTTAATAAAGTGATAAGACGCACTTTATTCTTATAACGTGATGTGTTAAATGTGTGACTGCACTCAATGACAGAAAAGAAAAAAAAAAAAAAAATTTAATACAAAAAATTAATTCGCTCAATGCAAGTACACCAATCTTACTCTTACATACAAATATTTTTATCAAAACTAAATATACTCATGAATATACCCAAACTAAATTGCTCTACCCAATTTTATATTTCTTAAATTTATTATGATCATCGACAGTGGAATTAAACAAATTGTTAGGCGATGCATTGTCTATAAGTATTAGGAAGTGAGCTTGGGAGGGGGGGATTACGATAAAAATATTTGTAGTTTAATTATAACAACGAATAACAAATTAAAGTTTTAGATTTAGGCTTGGATGAAAAGTTGAATATTAATAAAGTAAAGTAATAACTAAATGCTGAAAATACCCCTGCAACGAGCAACTATAATTACGTCCCTAAATAAAGGAAAGTGTGAATTTGGTAGTTTTTTCTTTGCATCTGTGCTGATCTTGGAATCAGTTATCAAAGTTGCATTCCAGCTTTCGGTATTCCACAAATTAGATTTTTTTTTTTAAAAGGGCAGATATATCTGTTTACATTCGTTCCTAATTCACACAGAGAAGGATTTATGATCGTCTCGTACTGCAATTTCTTCAATTTTACGAGAAGTGCTTTTTATGGATACACATTTCTTCTTATCCAAAAAGAAGAGCGTTTATCTTATTATGTATTGCTGCTTATATTCACAATAGGTTATCCGTCCACTGCTTATCACATAAATCGAACACGTTATTAAGCTATGATAACATAAAATTGACAAAATTTGTTTTAAAAAATCGTAAGTTTAATTATTTAAATAAGCATTCCCTTGACAATTCCGCTAATAATTTAAGGACTAATATAAACTGAAAGCCTAAATGAATTTTTTCTTAAATTTCTTGCCCTATTTGACCATTGTTAGCTAGAGATTTTTATGATTTTCACAAAATTTTTCGAGTTTTTTTTGCAAACTGACGTAGTAAAAATCACAAGCGAAAGTAGTATTTTATCACGTTTGTCGGCAAAATACAATAAATCTTTGGAGGTGTATGTTATCGTCGCTTGGTATTTGCATAGCAAACCGAAAGATTCCTCCTATTTTTCAAATAAATGTCAATTCATTTCATTCCGACAAAATGGCTCCTCACCTGTCAGGGATGGCTCCGCCCTCTTAATATAACGGCGAGACTACGCCCGCCGAGCTATCACGTACCGCCCATATACTACTTGTATTCCTTCGACTGTAGCAGCTAAGCTAATGAAGTATTAAAGGCTTTTAATATTTCATATTGACAATACTTGTGTAATTGGAGTGGGAACGCGTGACATGGTTGTTTTATTATATTCGTTGAGTAGGGCGACGATAGTTCGATGTAAAAGTTCGATTTATTGGGTATTATTAGGCTTTCAACTATTACTGCCCCTGCAGTATTGCAACTGATTTTACATACTTGTATCGAGTAAATGCTTATTTAAAAGTTTTCTGTTTGATTGATTTTTCCATGCCGTCTTCAATAGATGTACGTTTATTTATTTTTCTTTAGCTTTTAATTACTAGGTATAGAATATATATATGGGACGCAGAGAAACATTAGGAATTTCACGAGGAGCAAAATTTTTATACACTTCGATTTTATTTTAGGAGTCGAAAGTTTTTGAAAAAGAGTCAAATTTTAATGTTAAACTTGGAACGAAATAATATTAAATAAGATTTCATTGAGAAACTTATCAATTTATAAAAAACAAGAAAATATAGTAACTTATGTGCACATGAAAAATTTATTCTTACAATAAAATTATATAAACTCCATGCATCTGTTACTAACAAATAAAATTTATAAGTTAATTAATTATTTGGAACTATAGGTATCTAACGGAAACTCAATTTTGCCTACGTTATTACGTAAATTACTTTGTGATTGTGCCAATTGTCCACGTAGAATAAAAGACGAAAGTGTAATATGTAAAGATATTCCAATGTGTAAAGAGGATAATTCAATTCTTTTTCATTTTCATGCAAAGTCGCCTTTCCAACAACTCATCACGGACAAAAAAATGAAACTTCGTCTATTGTCATCGTTACGTTTATTTTTTCAATTTGGGCTGAATTTTGTCTTTTGATATATCATAGTTGAATTTGAACGTTAATTGATAATATTATTATTAATCGTATGCTGTTAAATTTTCTGGATTTTGGGATATTTTATATTGAATAAATTAACAATGATTTGTACTTATATTTTCTTAAGAGTAAATATACTTAAGTTATATTCTTTTAATAGAAGGGATTATGAATTATTTAAAAATAAATTAATGTTGATAATTCGATGACAGAAATCAGTACAAGTGTCTTCTGAACGATGAGGGACTTTTACGTTAGTAATTCAATTTAAATGTTTAAAAAGCTGAAGTTCATACATACACGTTAAATGAGCATTATTGGAACAAAATTTAATAAATAAAATTTATTCGAGTAACAAATGCTTTTTGTAAAACATAAATTCACTTTCCAGAAAAAATTTATCCATTATGAATTTATAATTAAAGCATACCCGATCATGGAAAGAAATTTCGCGAGAATTTACTTTTATTTTGTACTGCATGATAAATCATTATGTATATAGATTTATCAATTTTAAATAATTGAAAAGCTAAGTCTTAGCAACAATAAAGCTTTTCTAAAATTATTTTAATAAGTTTTACATAATTTTTTTAGTTGGAAAACTTAGATTTAATTGATGAATTTAAAATATAGTCTCGCTCAAGAATAAATCCTATATATACTTTCATTATTTTTTTTTTGATAAATTTTTTAATTTAAAAATTAACATTAAATCTTTATTTGTAATTGTGCAATTTTTTGTTTGCTATGGATTATTATTGTTTACGATTGCTTAGTATCATATATTTCTGGTTTAGATTTTTGTTATATATTATATGTTATATATTATGTGAGATGGTAGAATGACATAATTTTTTTTTTTTTTTTTTTTCATAAAAAATTTAATATAAAATTGGAACTATGAATTAACTATGATAACAAAATACATATCTAAATTACTAAAAGAAATCGTAATTTTTCGTAATTTATCTAATCTTCAGTTAACGGGATTATTATATATCTTTTAAAGATTATCTTTACTTGATTAGTTAAACAAAAATCATTTTATTTATTTATCTGCATATTTAAATATGAATATAATTTATGTTTAATATTTAAAATGTTGTAACAAAGTTGAAGAGCAATACTTTTATACGAACAAACCTTATAACAATATATTTATGAATACATCTTAGTTGAATATGGATAATAAAATAATGTTAAATAAAAATTATCTCTGAAAATTTTTGCTGAAAAAGGTTAAATGAAGTAGAACATTTTTGAAAGTCACTTTTAAGTTGTAATATAAAATCAATTTCTTATTTATTAAGTAATATAGTTACGTTAAATTAATGTCTATAAATATTGTGTAAATTAAGTGTATAAATTAATGGGTAAATAGATAAATCAAATGAAGGAAACGCCTTAGAATACTAAAACTGTTTGGTGTAATTTCATAATTGTAATTAAAAGAATTATTTTTTAAGTACCTTCTTATTCATAAATCCTATATAATAATTAAAATTTAAAAAATAATTTGTCATTACAATCGATTTATTTACAAACAGAATATATGTACATTGAACAGCCTTTTTGTAAACATTCTGATAACACATTTGTGGTAATGATTTGTGGGATGAGATCATTTGAGATTAATGTTCAGTATCATCTTTTGTAAATTGAGAACTAACCCAAGCGAGTCCCCATTTTAAATTAGTGAGTAAAAATTTTAAGGCCTTGGTCCACTGTTCCTCAGAATTAAATTGGATTCTAAAATAAGTAAATAGTTTTTTCACATATTAGATATATTAATTATTTTATATTAATCAATTCGCATAAACTAAACTATTTCAAATAAGCATCTTACTTGATTGAATATGAATTTCCTGATGCAGAATCTTCGATTTTTCCTCTTTCCATTCTGTATGGAAGACAAAATCCGCTATCACCCTTTTCGACTTGTTCTTTAAACTGCTGTAAGCAATCAAGAAAGGCAACCATAGCTGCATCAAATTTTGTATCCCATAAAAACTTAAAACCACCGCTACCATATAATGGTAGCTCTCTATGCTGATCGAGAACTTCTATGTAACTGTGATTACCAAATGGCACTAATCTAAATCTTTGAAACGTTAAATTCATTTTTCTAGCTAAAGCAGTTAAAAGGAGAGTTGTTTGTCCCCATGCTGCATTAATTTCACTCCAATCAACAGGTGCACTTGGTAGCCTACCTAATCTAAAGGAATTTATTGTACCAAAATGACCAGAGTGCCAAATGTGAAAAGTTGCATTGAAAACATTAGTTTTTTTCAGTCTTTCAAGTTGAGATGCTGCATAGGCTAACTGACACTCTAAGCTAAAAATAGTATTTTAAGAATTAATATTCGTCGATTGCTATATGTTATGTTTAATGATCAAATTAGACTATCAGTCAAACTTGTCGAGACTATCGGTCTATGTACATTAGCTTATAAATGTAGTAGTAATACTTATTAAATGAAAGGCATAAAAAACTATAGTTATGTTTATTAAACTATGTATATAATTCTTTACTAGAGTGAAACGTTAATCAATATAAAATATAGTAATTTAATTCACATTATTGGTAAAATGTTTAAAAGAAATTTTATTAAGAGGAGTATGATTGACAATGTAATTAAATTAGAAATAAATTTCGTATAAAAAATATTAATAATTTTTAATGTTTTCAAATGCGGTATAACATCAATTTTTATTTATTGAAAAATTTTGAAATTTTACCTGCGACATTCATCTTCTGCTAAAATTAAATCTCTTCTATGCCGTGAATATTCTCTCCAATATCGTTCCTCTTCACTCTGTAACCTTTCCTTTTCTCTTTCTTGATGAGCGATTGCACTCTTTGTTGCTGCTTCTTCTTTTCTTAATGCTTTCAATTCACTTATCATTCTTTCTTCTTCAGCTTTAACGTCTTGCAATTCCTTTTCTAACGCTTCAATTTCAATATCTTCGTTACCCTCTTGTACCTGTTCGGCTTCTAATTTTTTAAGATATTCATTGTAGTCCGACCATTCACCTTCTGTGAGCCTTAGCTGCTGATCCATTAGCATTAAAAGGCTATCTGTACATTCATCACACAATGGATGATCAGCAGAGCTACTACTACTTAATACATCAAAAAGCGTTGCCCGTACCTGTATAAAAATTAGTTTTAGTTTCACAATATTTATGTCATGTATAGTTATGAGAGACATAAAATTTTATTACAATTCAAATTAACGTATTACCCTTAAATGATGACTTAAGCTTCCCGTTTCGCCCGAATCGCCAACTAACATAAATCCATTGGAACCATTTGCAGATTCTGTGAGTCGAAACGGGGGTACTAAATGCTCTAAACTACTGTTATGTGGTTCTATTTCTCCAATAATTTGTTGTTGAATCGGTACTAAAAAGTATGAGAAATAATAATCGGATACAAATGTATTTAGAAGGGTTCGATAGAATTTGAATTTACTCAATTAATTTATATACATATACATTCCTATCAAATGTACTAGCTAAACTTATAAGTTATATGCTTTTATGATATTAAATATATATATATATATACACACACACACATAGACAAAAAGAAAGCCTAACGCATATAAGTTTAAGTATTTATAGAAGTAAATTCAAATTGTACTGATGCACATAGGTTATAAACATTTGTATTAAACTTAATAAAATTATATTCCACAAAAGGCAAATTAAAACTCAAATTTTAAGATCAAAACACGGCGATTCAATGTTTTGATTAAAAAATTATAATTTACCTACGTGATAATTCAGCTAATGTGTGTTCCCCCAGATGATTGAAACTTGGATCTAGCCTCAGTGGCTGTAGACATCGTTGACATGCAAAATTCACATTAGTTTTCATGTCCACCATTCTTGTCGTTTACCTGTCAAGCGACGAAGTATAACAACGAACACAACCTGCAGGATAAAACTGTTATTTATAAATACGCATCAGACGCCTCAGAAACAGGGTCAGCTGATTGTTGTTCAAGAACGCGCCGCAAGAGGCGCGGGAATGTTCTAAACTTTCTGTCCGTTTGTATTTGAAATGCTTAAAAAAATCTGTTAAATATATATCGAGTTCAACATTTAATATCCATTTAGAAAATAGACATTGTATGTGAATATTTTGAATTTACAATATTTTAATTACACATCGCAATTTATTAATAACTTCGTTAGTGCATTATGAAATATTATTTTTTGGATTTTGTATGCTGTGAAATATACATTGTGTGCACTATTACTAGATATCGTATAATATTTTTAATTACACGCGATTTCTTATTATTAATTACAGGTAATAGGAATATTTTATTGTTTAAATCGCTTATATTTCGAGTAGTAGCAAGGAATAACTCGGACAAAAATAGCAATGATGAAAAACCAATGACATGAAAAGGATATATAAAAGATATATTTCAGTTGAAACTACAAGTATAAGACTAAAGAGACTTTCGACAGTGCGTGAATTGAAAGCGTAACAGAAGCGACGTCGATACAAAAAGGTGACAATACTTAATTAATAAAAAATAAATAAGCTTCGTTTCAAATTCTTTAGACATAAGAAAATAGTCTCTTGGACACATTTTATTATTCGAAAATTGCCAAATCATCTCTACAAATATATTTAAACAAAAAGCTTAATTTTATTACATATCTTAGGCTTTAAATTTTTATGTATCTTAAATTTTAACACAAATCTTAGGCATTTTTTGTAAAATATTATAATTTTTACATGTCTATGGTTGAATGTAAAATTAAATTTTGTAGAGCTATTTATGGATCTGTTTTTAAACATATATCAGTTTAAGTTTTTACTACGTATTAAAAATATATACAAATAATAATATTGCACATTTTTTTTAATTATTTTAATTTTTAGTTTTTTACATCCCCTACAGGTTATTCAATAGATTATAAATGATACATTTTTATTAACATTGTAATGAATTAATTCAAGGATTCATTTCTCTTCTAAATACACTTTATATATAAATAATTATTTAAAATAATGTTAATAACAAAATATATTTTATGAACAATATTTTTTTTTAATGTATATTTTTTATTAATTTAACAATAAAAATAAGTATATATTATTATAATTAATACTTTTTAATATACATATTATAATGTACATAGTACCTCTACGAAGTTATGGTTTCAGTTAATCTTTTTCTTTCATGTAGTTAAAGAATAAAGTATTTTTTAATGGGAAAACAAACATATTTGTAGATATAGAATCATATATTTTACAAAAAAAAAAAAATCAGACAATGAAAATTGAAAAACAAAATAACCAATTTTATGAGACTATAAAGTGAATATTGTCTGAAGGTTAATATAAGTCTTTTAGCTATTTATATAGGTATGCATATGTGAAATAATATTAATAAATAAAGAATATTTAAAAATTTTAGTAATTATTTAAATAGAAATTTATTTATTAATATTGATTATGAGTGAGCCTATTTAAATTTATAGTTGAAATTTAGTATTTCAGACTCAATTACAATATTTTAGATTTGAGTTTGTTTTATATTAAAGTTTATTATCTGAGAGCATGCAGTTGTTCACAATAAGTAATCATTGTAATTCTATTGGATTTTGCTCTATTGACGATAACGACAGTAATATTGTAGTTTAAATATTTATATAATTAACGACTATTTCAATTTATGTAAACCAATTTTATATATAAAATTATTTATATATAAATTGAGTAAATAAATTTCTGTTTTGTATATAAAATTATATTAAATAATAAATAAATAAGTATATATATATATATATATTTATTTATTGTAAATTATTTAATTTATTACTTGAATTTACTTTTTTTTATCCAGCATAAGAATAAGTTTCCTTATATAGTCTCTTACATAGATGACATATGAGTTTATGGGTAGATAATGATGAAGTAGTGATCTTCATTTTGGATAAAGCTACAGTTTTGAACTTTTTACTGAGCCATATAGTTAATATAATTCTTATGTTAAGTTGCCAAAGGTTTTCAATAGATTTTTAAAATTTTTATATTTCTTGATGTGTCTAAAATTTCTATATTTAAATGTTATGTTAATGTTGTTATTAACGTATTTCAATCTTTAAAAATTTTTATTATTTTGTAATAATGGCAGTACATATTTATTGAAATACAAAATAATTTTATTTAAAAATTTTGTAACCCAAGTCAAATTATTTTTAGAATTTGATTATTTGTATTGTAATTAATTCTTTGTTTCTTATAGAAAATTCAATTCACTTATTTAGAAAGTTAACCTATATTTTTCTACATTAATATTAATTCAGGATATTTGAAAAGATATCACGTGTGATCAATATTCAGATATTAAATGTTTTTCAAATTGAAACAAAAAGAATCGAGAATGTATGTTATTTATAAATTAATAATAATAATACATATAATATAGATAATATACGTAGCTATACTGTATGATTATATAATACTCTAACACCATTCAATGTCTAATACTTCATTTTAAAGATAAAATTATTTATAAAAAATTTATGATAATTACTAATATTATATAAAAATGAATAGAATACAAAGCAATTGTATTTACTAATATTTATAAAAATAATTAAGACGCTGTTTCATCAATGAATTCATTTATTTAATTCTTTAATTAAACGAAATCGTATGTTTCATTGTTATATTTTTAGAGACATGGGTCCTTCCATTTCTTTTTTGATTTATCTTTTTTATTTTTACCGTCTTTATCACAACCTGATAATTTTTTTAGCTCATCGAGAATTTCTTGTTGATTTACATTTGTTTCAATATGAACGACATTTGGTTTCTTTTTAATACGATTAACGGCAGCTGGAGGTGAAAATTCTATTTCCATGTCGGAAGCCGTTGAACTGGTGGCAAGAGAATCTTTGCTCTTAACTATTTTGAATTGAAGAGGATTGAGTGGTTCATCTATTCGTGGTACATCTGATGTTTCTTGTCTTATCGGATACATGGTGATGTAATATTCTCCGTCTCTTCTGTGTATATGAAGAGTGGGTGGGAAACTAGCTTCTTCTTCAGTTTGTTCTTCATTACAAGTTGGCGGTTTCTTCATTGTATTGAATGGTATCATCTTTTGATTTTTCTTTGATCTAGAAGGCGCTGACTTTGGTCTGCTGCTTTCATTTAAGAAACCTGCTTTCGCTGCGTTCATCATATCACGCATAAGAACGCTAATAGCTCCTGGTTTCCATCCCGTTCGAAGCTTACGATTGGCGATAGTGTCAGCTTCATTCCACATCCAACCCTGATTAGCTGGAACTCTACGTCGATGATGGTAACAATTTTTGTGACCATAAACCGAAGTGGGATAAGAATTTCCAAAAGAATAGACAAATTGATTTCCCTTTCCAGGATTTGATTTTGAATTTTTTGTTAAATCACCACCAGTACCAACAGAAGACTTGGTTTTAGATTTTGTTTGATCATTTTTTGGAGACAATTTATCACCCGAATTATTTATTTTTTCATCTATATTTTCGACATCGATATTTTTCTTTGGCCTTGACTTACATTTTGGCTCTCCGCAAGGTGAATCTTCGTTAATTTGCATAGCTTGGCTATTGTTTTCCGATTCCTTTTGTTTTTCAATTTTCTCATCTTTTTTTTTCCATTTCGATGCTTGAGTAGGATCCACAAAAGTGGTAATTGCTTCTTGAACAACAACTAATTTTTTAGGTGGATTAGAATTATACGATAGGGAAGGTAGAGCTGATTTTTTCACGTTCTCGGCATTTTGTGGGTTAATTATGTAATTGCTCGTTTCCAATTGTTTATGATTAGATAATGGTCTTAATTCTTCTTTTTTATTTTCTTTTAATTCTTGAGTTTTACCAAAATAAGGGCTTTCCACTATACCAAGTCCAGCAAGTCCAGGCACTTTCCCTATGGAATTAACAAAGTCTTGTGTGTCTTTGAACGCTCGTATAAGGCAATCTGTACCCATACATGGTTTTTTCATACATATTCCAAATTCTTTTTTTTCCTCGTGTTGTTGTTCAGCACAGTGCACTGGCTTAGGTATTTTTTCAACATTTCGACATTTATTTCCTACTACACACTTTGAATTGTTATTCTCATTCTGATGTTCCCACTAAAATATAAATAATTTTTAATCATTTGCATAATCAAATTATTTATACAAAATATTATTAGTATTGAGTTTTCGCATATTATAATGCTAAAATTTAAGCGACATATAGCTTTTTAGAATATAATAATAATCTTTTTATAAAATGCTTAAATTTCAATTTTTAATTTTTTATGGATGGGTTGTTTTGCTACGTATGTACTTTGAGCGTGGACTGCAGTCGTCTAATAATAGTAAATGGAAGATAATTTTTACTACTTGAATAGATAATGCGCGATGCATATGTAAATACGATGCATTAAGATATATGTTATTTACTCATTTATGTTAATGATTTCAATATAATGTCTCGATTAAACACTTTAAAAGCCTCACGCGTAATTGCAACAACAAATTTTACAACTTTCTATTTCGCATCACACACGATTATTATTCTTTTCTCAATGAAAATGTCGCGAAAGTTAATATTAAAAAAGCCTATTTTATGTTTATATATTTTTTTGCTCTGCTACAAGTCATAGTGCATAGGATAAAAAAGGTTTCGACATCTCGAGTTGATAACACAGTCTCAACTTTAGGCGTTACATTGTATGACGAAGTAAACGATTATTATTATAATAAAGCTGCTAGGCAAGGTAAGAGCGAGTGTGTGATAGTGACCAACGAATAACCGAGCGTACAGCCATTAAGGACTTTTTTTCGCACAAGCGTCCAAGTTAAAGGATGCAAGCAAAACGCGGACACGCGACCGAGCAGCGAACTTTGGCTCCTTGGCCAACAACTATCCAGTTTTTGGATTCGCGCGCGAATTTCCTCGGCGCCGATCCCCGGCAACGCGACTACTACTGACTGTGCTAACCGTGGCTTTCTTATCGTTGGTGGTAGGGGGACTGGCCGTCCTTCCGCAGCAACCGCCACCCTCGAGCCGCGTCGGCGTAATGAATTTATTGTTGCGCCACATAAAGTCCGCGTCAGTTTTGAGGAGGTAGTCGAGGTCGTTGCTACCGCCTCCCCGAAGCCTGGCCGGGGCCTCAGCGCTACGGCGGTCGTTCTTCCCCGGGCCAGCAATTAAATGCTCGTTGACTCGGGTATCCTTGAAGTGCTGACGCGCGCTTGAGCAGCGCACCGAGTGTAAACTGCACGATATCTCCGGTCTTCTTTGTCCTGGTTTGAAAACGTAGGACGACGACGTGGAGTAGGATGACGATGATGTGGGGGGAATCTGGGCCCAGAGCTTGCTTAGGTGGCCTCGCTGGGTTCCGAGGCAGTGATGATTTTGTTCGATGGTCTTGTTCATGGCCGGTCGTGGTGGGCTTGCCGGGCTTTCAAAATGCTCACGGAGAACTTGTTCCGGAGGCTAAGTTAGTCGTTATTATCATAGGCGATTTCTTCTTGTCGATTTATTGGTGTTATATTTTGCTATTTTTTCACGTTTTGCGTTGGCTTTTTACGCTTCATTATTATTTTGCTATTTTTTCACGTTTTGCGTTGGCTTTTTACGCTTCTTCTTGCTTAGATTTCAAGAGATTTGACTGGAAATTTCAATTTTTAAAAGAAAATTTTACAAGGACTACTTCATTGTAAATTTATTTTGAATTCTAAAAGGGTGATTGACTTGCGTTAATTAACAACAGATTTTTTCATTTCAAACTGAATTATTTTTTGTACGTTTCTGTGTAAGGATGTGCGCGTGCGCATGTATGCGTGGAGGACATCACCATGGCGACCGATTTTTAGAGATAATTTGTTTATTTTTGACGCGCGGGAAAGTCTTTTACAGTACAAATAAATTGGAAACTACAGAATGAACTTAGATAGCGAAACCATTTATTGAAAATCACTTTTCAGTTTTTATTTAATTAATGCAGAAAACTCTATACATTGTTAGTTAACATACATTTATGTAATAATGTATTCACAAAATTTTTCGTAATTTTATTTGCATTCGTTTGAAATTTCATCTTTGGTTTGTATTAGTGCAAAGACAGCACATTTGTTGATTGAAAATTTCTTTTTTTTTTTTGAATCGTTTTCATCAGATGTTTCCGAAATTTCATTCTCAACCTTTTTTATTCGAAAATCTTCGTTAAAATTGTTTTTGAATTCGTAGCTGTCGTCAAATATTTGATAATGAGAAACGATGTAGGAGCCAAACAACGTTAGACGTAATAAAATGTTTATGGAACCTAAAACATAAAATTATAAATTTTGCTTCAATTCATAACAATATATTTATTAATCATAATCATTCTATCGAAATGTATACACATATACATATATATGTAAAAAGCGCATGTAAAATGTGAAAAGTATTTTTTCGATATTGTGTTTTTACATCTTGTAGAAAATTATTTTTATCGTTAAATTTTTTTTTTTTTATCAACAAAAAATGTATGCGGATTATAAATGGGTGTGTACGTGTGCATGTATAGTGTGTTCTCGCATACTAAATTGAGGGTAACAATTTGAAATACATACTACTCCAGTATGTATGAATGCAAATTGAAATTTTAATCATAGATATTTGAATATTAATAAGAAGTGACACTGATATCTCCATAAAATTTTATTCTCTGAATTTTATTCAAGAAAATAATCTTAATTGATATTTCATCCTTGACTAAAGTCAACAAATTGATCAAATATTTATATTTATTTGGATTTGAAGTGCTTACTCGAGCATATTTCAATATTAATATAACTTGCTTAAAAAAATTTTCCGAGCTAAAATGTAATACGGAAAACTTTTTTTTTCGTGGAAAGCAAGAAGAGGAAAAAGAAGAAGAAGAAAACTTCGCAACTTCGCTATTTTTCTTCTCTCTTTTTTTATCAAAGGAAAATCGAAAGTTGGTGGTAGGCGAGTCAGGGGAATGAGCGATGCAGGAGAATAAGAATTGCAACGAGCGAGAAAGCATAAGCGCAACCTGCGTAATTGTTGCCGGGATCGGCGATGTTGTAGTTGCCGGTGAGCTCGTACGGCTTGGGCATGTGTGTCGAGTCGTTCCTTGCCATGGCGATTTGGTCGCAGAGGCATCCTGAGAGCGGTATCGACGCTTCCGCGATCGGAAAGGTCTCGTCGCAGCGAAAGATGCCGAGCTTGAGTGGCTGGAGCTGCATCGCGGTCACGAGATCCCGTGGCTTCTTCACGAATAAGCAAGACTTCCCGGCAGCGTAGACAAGGCCCTTGTTCTCGTCGTATGGGCGCGGGGTGCAGGCTAGGTCGCTTCGCTTTATCACGAAGACGGGGAAGTCGATGAACTTGAGCTTGACCAGCGGCGGAGTATCGCTAAAGTCCTCCTGATATTTGCTGGCCGTGAGCCGGAGCCGATCGACGTTAAGCTCGACCAGGTATATGAGGTCGTCTCTGCCGCCGAAGCACGACATGTCATCGCAATCTGCTCACGTCTGTTGTTGCTTCCTACATTATGGGTCTGCTTTTAATGCTCGGCCGCGTAATCCACGGGATTATAATTAGTATGCTTAGATTATAACTGCGTTGGGTACCTTGGGCTCGTTGTTGCCTTTTTCTCTTTCGTTCTTTTCTCTCTCTTTCTCTCTCTTTATTTATTTTTTTTTTATATATAACATTTTCTTAATAGCGATAATAGCATGTAATGCACGGTATGGCTTGCTAGCAGAGAAAATTATATTTTTGACCCAACGAAGCTTTATCCATTAAATTAGCCGATAAATTTTACTTTATTCGATTAGATTTACAAATTGTCATTATTGTATTAAAATTATTATTCATTACATTTTTTCAATAATTCATTAATGATTAAACTAGCGACGATAAAATTACTATAAATTCACCTCTAAAAATTGCTAATCAGTAATCGTGTAAGTAAAGTAGAATAACATGTTTCGATAAAAAATGTATGGCCCTTCACCGCACAATGTAATCATCTTAACAATTCGTATTGAATAAAGCTTTTAAATAAGGTATAAATAATTGAATAATTCCATACAATTATATGTTCTTATATAAATAAAAATACAAATCTAACCAGTGAATTCCTATCATTACTTTAGACAGTATTTTGAAATTGCGGATAAATGGTGCATCGTGCAAACATAAAGGGTAGTTGCGAAATTCTTCAATAGTCATCTTATACGAGCGATGGAGATCAAATATCTACACGATAATATTCCTTTAGTGAATTGAATTATCAAGAAAATCAACAATCACAAGACTATTAAAATTACAAATTCTGTTAATAGAGTAATATTTTCTTTGACTTTTTGAGAGTATTGTTTACAAAAGTTACGAGCAAATGAAAATAGAATAGATACATAATATTCACGTAAGAATTTTAATGCTGTAATTTTTTATAGCTTATGTATTTGCAAAATTACCGAATAACCTGGTCATAATTTCTTACTAAGAATAATCAAGAAAATAACCTTAACTCACGTGCGACTAGTTTCAGATAAATACACCCGTTGTACAATGTATTCTATAAAACAAATAAAAGGTAATCATTACTATTTAAGAAAAGTTTCTTACGAAATATGAAATTAATTTCAATTATAAGAAATCAATTTATTTATGATGCAATACATTATGGGCCGATGCTGTAATATTTATTAGTTCTTTAAAGATGAAAAGACAATTAACATCTATGAGCGTGGACTTTAGAAAATATTGTATGCATTATTATTTTCCTAAAATTTCTTAAGATTTCTTAAAATTATAACAGTAAGAATTTTTAATTAATTAATAAATCAAATTTTACACGATGTAATGAATGAAATTAGTATAAAAAAGTTTCCTCTTAAAATATTCAATGGCTAAGAGTGGATTTTTCAAATTTATTGACAAGCCAACAAGCACTTTTCATAATATATATATATATATATATATATATATAATAAAAACAAAAAATGACTGGTAATCAGAGTAAACTTAATATAAATAATAAAGCTGTGATATTAAATTATAATATAGTAAGTTTAAATTAATCATCTTCTGTTGTATTCAAAATATTAATAACTTCGAAAAATGGATGTATATTATAAGATGATATAAATATAATTAAGGCTGTAATAGTTATATTCAATACAGTTCACGTAGGCATACTAAAAAAAATAATTAGCCCCGACTTAATAATAAATGAACGAACTAAATAGAGTCCCAAATTAATATTTTATAAAAAAAAAGAAAAAGAAAAAGACTATAAAATATAATATTAGTATAAGGCTTGGCCGAGATTATTAAAATCTGAAATTAAGTATATATAATATAAGAATAAGATAATAATCTCACAAAACTAAAAGATTCACATTAAGAAATGACGAAAACCGCTTGATAGTAAGCTTGTATAATTAATTTAAAGGACATTAAAAATATATTTATAAGTACTATATTGATTGCAATTACAATTAAGTTCCCAACTTTGCATTTTGTTTGAAAGAGCGTAAGGAAAAATTTTACTTGAATTTTTATTATAATTATTGAATTAGAAATAAAAAATATCAAAATTATTAAACTAGTGGTTTAAATAAGCATAAATTTTATGAACATTATAATTTTAATGATATTATAGAAATTGAAGAATTTATACAAGCAATACATCAATTTTGGAGAAAGAGAAAACATTTTATCTATTGACTACCGGCGCAAATTTAAATTAAACCAATAGCTTATTGGCGGTGAAAAAATCAATTTTATAAAATGATGTATCAACGCATATAAATCAGACAGTTCTATGTTATTATAAATTTCTTTTAATGATAATTACGGTGAAGAAGAAGCTACTATTAATTATTCAATTTACTTTAGAATAAATTATTAGTCATTTGGTCGAGTATCACAGGTATAACCTTAAAAGGTATATCTTAAGTATTGGAATATGCAAATTATTTTACGTTGTGAGAAATAATAACGATAATGATTAAAAGTGAATATGATTCGATTATGCGATCGATCGAGGATGAGATTAAATTATTGGAATATCAGTAAAAGTTTTTTTATTAAGTCTTAAAAACGCAGATGAATCTATATATTTTACTTTAATAACAAACTAAGTAGATAAATAATTGCAAATTTGAAGGTCTACAAGAATTTACGCAGAAGAATTATTTCATTAAAAGAGAATGGTGAAGTAGAAAATATAAAGTAATTATTAAAACCAATAATTCAACACTTCGTTGAGTATTTTGTGTGTGTTGTGTTGTATGTGTGCGATTAAACATCGTATATTACGATAGGTCAGATGCATTGTTATAGCGAACAACATAAGGATAGTATAGTCTATGGATCTTTAATTCGTAAGAGAACAATGTAGGTGAACTTTTCTTAAAATGTTCAGGATAATGATTAAAATGCAATATAAAAATAAGTAAAATAGGTTATGCACAATCACCCGGCCACGTTAAATGACAATAATAGCTAATAGATATATGATTTATTTACTTTCATCAAGCTGTGATATAAAAGTAATAGTGAAACTACGTTCAAAAGTAGTATATTAATCAGTTCAATTAAGCTGTTTGATGTAAAATAAAAACAATTTTTAACAGTCGTGATGATTGAATTTATAAAATCTAAGAAAATCAAAAAGTAATCATTAACTTATGCCTGGATATTTTCATATTATTTAAGGGCATTTATAAAAGAATTCGTCGTGCGTACGTTTCAGCGTTATGGTCTGCAAATGTATTAAACAGTTTATAACCTTTAAATTATTTTCCACTTATGCTGTATCCTACTGAAATTGTTCGTGAAAGAAGTCGTTATTTCATTTCACGTAAATATATCGTCCCTTCTCGCAAAGTGGACTACCAGGGCCCAGTATCTTGCTTTAATGAACGTGCAACCAACGATACGAAGCCACATTAAGGTATTACATCTCATTTAGAAATTTACCCGACTGAATACTCACTTTATTAAACAGGCAAGATCTCTGAGGTATTTCAAATTTTTACACAGATCGTCGACTTGTTAATTTAGAATTTATATTTCGGGGCCCATGATTATTCAATGAAATAGCCGTGCCAAAAGCATGCGTCAATGGGTATGCATGACGGCGTCATGACGGCGTCGCCCATAGGGAAAAGAATTGCGGCCAAGTTCATTGCTGAAATGTCGAAATTCGTGTTTTTCCTCTCCCACGTTAGAGGAGATAGCGGCGGTGGTGGCACTGGCGGTAGCCGTATCAGAACCAACTTACACGGCCGAGTCCTTTCCGGGTCGAAAAATGTCATCCACGAGCGCGCGGAGCTGTCGCAAAGTAATGCGAGAAATATTCGAATGGCCCGATCCTTAAATCGTCCTCGTCGACGAAATAATGGCTTTCGCTAGATGGAGATAAGGCTGTAACTCTTTCAGGTAAAGATGTGTCATGTTCTGCGCAGATCGAAATAGAAGCGTCCGACCGCTCGCTGTATATTCCAGTCGGCGATCGATCACGGCCTTCCGAAACGGGGCTGGAAGGGCAGAGGGAGATGGTGGTGTTGGTGGTGATGGCGGTGGTGATGGCGGTGGTAGCGGCGGTGGCGGTTGACGATGGGGGATGGGAGGTGGGGGTGGAACGTCAGAGGTAAAGCAGGAGGAGGATGAGGGAGGATGAGGACGTGGAGGAGATCCCGCGACCCCGGAGATCCTATCGATCGCATGCGCGACCGTTTGTCGTCGCCTCGACTCATCGGCAGCTTTACGTACTCGTGTATACGTACATGCATATCTCCATCGGACTTAGTGAGCTTTATCTATTCACTTCTATCGTTGCCTTTCTTTTATTTCGTTTTGCCGCCAACAGCTACTTTTCGTCATTTCTCTTGACCGTGACAACTCATAACCAGTGTTCTCTTGGCTGTGACACTCTTACATGTCGTAATCGCGCCACTACTTTTATCGGTACCTTGCGTTTGATCTTTACATTTTATTATGCGCTCCTTTTATTAGAAAGCTTTATGTGGCTCTTTCTCAAATGCATGTTCCGCAGTTTGTGTGTATTGTTATTGAGACTTCTTAAGGCAAATAGAAAGATAAATGAAATGTACTTTGTAAGACATTTGAAATTACAAGATAACAATGCTTTATATTATATTATTATTATATATTATATATACTTATATTAGATAATATATTATTACCGTTGTATGTAGAGACATTTTTGCAATCTAAATAAAATGTCTATCTAAATAATTATATTTTGATTCACAATATTCTATTATACGTTAAATGTGATTACCTTGCAATTCCAAAATTTATATGGCGTTATCGAATACGGCACCGATACTACTCGATCTTATGTTACAATTATTAATCGCAATTTGTCATCTTCGTTTCGCATTACGAGATGATACCGATCACTTGAAATTTTAAACACGGATCGCGATCATTATACATCATAACTGTTCCCAGTGCTTACTAAGTACACGCTGCGTTATTCCTCTCCACTACGTTCTACCCGCCTATCGGTGTGGATCTTAGGAATGGTTCGGCTCTTCCCAATCGACCAATCAATCCGCAACTGCTCATTGCCTCCGATCGATATTGCTAAAATTGAATTATCCAATTGAAGTTCCGATCACATCTCTGGAATAACAGTAAAAAAATGCTTAATAAGAAATTTGTATCCCCCCCCGCCCCTGCCTCAAATCCTCTTCTCTACACGGCCCACCGACAGTCGATGTTGAGCAAAAAATATGTACACGTATGTGTGTGTATATTTTTCTATGCATGTATGTGTTGTTTGAGATGTGCGCTTCGGCGACGTCGAAAATATCGACTCCACGTTTTTCGTGCCTCTTTATTCTTGCACTGGTCTTCCACGGAGAACGTCTTTCGCGAAACCGTATCGATCTCTGTACCGTTACGAATAAATCGCGCACGTGAAGATCGACCCCCCCCCCCCCCGACAGCGTCCATCTCCTTCGCTTCGATTCGCTCTTTTAATCGAGTGAAGATAGTATAATAGGGTGTTAATTTCGGTATCGCATATATTAAGCCGTTCTTTTTTTCTTTTGAGTTAAAAGCTTAACTGTTCTGGAGAATCGTAATTTCATATCGGAAAAGCTAAAAAAAAATACTCAATAAATTTGTAATATTAATAATCTTCAAATATTTAGAGATGTTTGATAATGCAATTATCTCGTACCTTAATAGCGACAAATTCATTCCAAATCTTTATTGAAACACTATCGATAGACATAATGAGTAAAGAGTTATAAAGAAAGATATTTTTTAATAGTTGTAAGGTTTATGGTTAAACCGTTAGAATCTAACATTCGTGTTATTTAGAAACAATAATTATTTTTCACGAGGATAAAATGCAAATTCCCTTCCTTTATATCGTATATTTCATCGTATACGATTTTTGAAAAATATTTGCATTTAAAATATCTAATTTTACATGAATACACACGGATATTTTCAGTCAGCCATAATAAAACGTTATAACAAAATATTTGTAATAAATTTCATATTATTTAAAATAATGGCAATAGTAAGCTTATCGATAACAAACTTTAAGACTGTTATTTTAATCTTTTTAAAATAAAAAAAAAATTAATCATTCGATTATTAAAATGATTTATCACATTTATTTTATTCAATATTGTATTTCATTGCATATTTTGTACGAAACAGTACATAAAATTTCAAATTAGTAACCTTCTCTGCAAACATACTGATATCTTTAATTCGTCGATTGAGTATTATCGAGATACAAAAGGGTTTATTTTGACCAATGTTTTATAGTACACCGTAACTGTTAAAATAACATTGGATCGTTCGGCTTTTTTCCCCCATATAATTATTTGTAACATTTAACATAAGAAGCAATAAGATTTTTCTCCTCCCGCTTCAAAAACGAAACTCATTGAGCCCAGCTGCGTCTCTCTTTGGGTGGGTCCTCCTTGGATTTCGCAACACCCCGTTGAAGTATGCACTAATTGGTGCGGGCGCGTACTGATACATCGGGAGAACGGAAAGACTGAAAGGAATAAATGTGTAAGTGAGTTATATGTGTTCGCGTACGTGCGTGAGTGTGTATCTATTCGAAATGGACAGTCAACCAGAAAGTAAAAAGGGAAGAAGATAGCGATGGAATTGAAGATGAGAGACGAAAGCTATATGATGAAGAGGAGAAGGGGAGGAGAGGAGCGGGGGCTGTTGTGATTGTTTTGGTGGTGGTGACGGTGACGGTGACGATGACGATGATGGTGATGGTGGTGGTGGTGAAGTTAGTAGTGGTAGCATCAGGATCAGCAGCGGCCAGTGCGGCTAAAGAAAAATTCCGAGGCGAACTACACGGCGGCTCGTTAAAATGCTTCTGGGGGTTTTGGACGCGAGGACTCTGCGGTTAATTGATGATTAGCGATTAAAACGAAACGATTCCTACATTGGAGATCCGTAACCCTCCTCCATCCTTAACTGCAAACTACTCTCGCAGCTTTTCGGTCGCTCCTCTCTCGTGCCTGTATGTGAAAAGAGACGACTGCCGCGCGTAAGAAACAAAGAGCGTGTAATGCGCTCCATAACGCTTTATCGCCGTTGATTTAGAAATGCGCCAGATTCGTGGCTCAAAATTCTGAACCTTTCTTTCATTCATCAGTTCTTTATTTATTTTTCACTCTTGTTTGATCGGTTTGTTTTTGATTCTGGTAAGTTTGAAGAAGAACAGCGAGAGCGCGCGAACAAGATATACTGTGACGTATATTGAAACGAGAGGGAGGGAGGGAGAGAAAGAGAGAGAGAGAGAGAGAGAGAGAGAGAGAGAGAGAGACAGACAGACAGACAGAAAGAGGGCAGGAAGAGTTAAGTCAGAGTTTGTGAATGAGCTTGTATGAGAGATATATGTTATGTTATGTAATTATATATTTTTATATACATGTATTAAAGGACAGAGGGAGAAAAATAGAAAGCTAGACTAATCAACTAATAGAGATCTTGCAACAAGTATTAAGCACTGGTCGTTCTATACGAGTGATAAATTTCATATATTCAATTTCATTCCAAATTATAATACTTATATTTTATATAATTTATATTCCATATTATAAGATATAAACTATTATAAAAAAAAATCGTCATTTCTAGTCCTTCATTTGTCGAGATGGTGTGCATTATTTTTCATTTTTATTAATTGGCTTTCATGCACTGTTGACAGAAATAACGGTTTTCAAAATTAAGGCATTCCTATGAAAATATCTATATGAAGTAGGATTATATGAATATAGCACTGTAGAAATAAATATTTATGGTCGTTTAAATTGACTATTTTTTCTACATATATGCAGTAGTTTGATATTTTATAGGTAATTTATACTTAAATATTTTGGAAATAATTGTTTTTTTGTATATGATAGCTTCTAGTGATTAATTTCGCAAGATTACATTCGCTGATTTATGATTTAAAAAACGTGTCATCTATAATTGAAGGTATCAGGTTTAAATTTCATTTCAAGCTTAAGCATAGATAATTTAAATTCAAATAAATGGTAATTTATTTTATATTTTAATTATCATGAAAATTATACCTATTATGTATTTACTTTAATTATTATTATCTTAATTGATTTAGTATTTATTGATGTTTACGAAAAATACAACGTGTTTTATACTTGAATATATTAATAATTAATTTTTTTTTTTTTTTTTTAAGCAATAATAATTAATATATATCTTATACATATTAATATATTTCAAATAAATTAAATAAATTAAATCAAATTAATTAATGAATATGAATTATATTTTCCAATAATTAAAATAAATAGAAATTAATTAGTAGTTACTTTTAGCAATGATAGTTGTATTTATCAGCTGGAAGTAATTACTATAAAATATGTTAGAAAGAATAATTAATTCTTATAATCAACTGTGCTTGATTTTGAAATACAATGTTTCTTTTAATTTTGAATATTTCTTTGAACGACAGTTAAATAAAAATATTATAACTCTTGTGAGTATACTTTTGAATAATGTGTAACTTAAATTTTTGTAAGTAATTTAACTGACACCTGCGAGTACAATTTATGATAGTCACTATCTACCTTAAAATATAAAATTTCCAATTCTGCTAATT